GGGGGGGGGGGGGAGGAGAGAGAATTCTAAACCTTTTGGTACAACTTTGATCTTGGCGAATGTGCACAAGTCGCCGGTATTTTGCAGTGTGATGTTCGCCCTGAGAGCGGTGGTTCCGGACGATAAAGTACCAAGCGCCAACCATATTTTGCCACTCGCGTCTTTAAACGTATCCGAGATCTTCATTTTGCCACAGCCGCCGTATCCATACAGGGGTATCTGTCGATTGAAAATTAAGACGCAGCCTCACAAAACATGCTAAAAAATACACAAATAGAAAACAAAAGACGATTTTACGCCGAAAATGTGTACGCACTCTTCTGTACTGAGATTCACGGCCCTCCTTCGCAGGCGCGTAATGTTTGATGGTGATTTTCCCAGCCACCGGACCCACGCGATACGGATTGAACATGACCGCGAGTGTTTTGCTTTCTGTACGCTGCATCGCCAGTACCATGCTTATGCTCGTAGTCTGCCTGTCTCCGAGGAACTACAATACAAAAGCTTCACGTTGACGTTCTGGACTTTTTTTTCCCAGACAAGTCCTGGTGTCCACAATAGGCGCTTTAAGCTCTAAGCCTTAAGAAATTGACCCATCACAGTCGAATGCGAGGAGAATAATCGACCGTGATCGGTCAAATTCTTAACACATTGTTGACCGGTCACGAGTTAACTCGTGTCTTCCTGCTCAAACGTTGCTGACCGGCCACGAGTAAACTCGTGATCGATGCAAGATACATTTGCGCGATCGAAACAAGATACATTTGCAAAACCTGTGGTGGACCATTACACGTAGGTGATTGCTACACCGTTTATCATACCAAAAAGAAATATTAAAAGTTAAATATTAAATAAAATTTATTGAAGTTTATTTATATTGTTTCACTTCCACATCCAATTACGAAACAATAGCCGACNATGCAAGATACATTTGCGCGATCGAAACAAGATACATTTGCAAAACCTGTGGTGGACCATTACACGTAGGTGATTGCTACACCGTTTATCATACCAAAAAGAAATATTAAAAGTTAAATATTAAATAAAATTTATTGAAGTTTATTTATATTGTTTCACTTCCACATCCAATTACGAAACAATAGCCGACGACATGAGATAAATTCTAAGTAAAATTGCCGGTCAACAATGTGTCAAAAAAGTACTAGGAAATTTGGTTTAAAATTGATTTTTAAATAAAAATGTTATGATAATGATTAAAAAACAATTGTTTTAATAATACCTGAAATGCATCCTATTTTACAATTTTTTAAAAATTCATAAAAATTTATTTTCAAGTAAAAAAAGTTATGATAATTATTAAAAAACATAATTTTTTTTTTTAATAATACCTAAAATGCGTCCTATTTTACAATTTCTGAAAGTTTAACAAACATTGCTTCATCAATAAAAATGTTATGACGATTTTAGTAACGTGCAAGTTTGCGCAAAAACGTGCGGTCCCAGGCGTATGTCTTACAGATTTCTTAGCGGTCCGCAATATGTTAAGGCTTAGAACTTAAATTCTCATTGTAAACCCTGCTTGATGCGATACCTTGAAGCTTTTAGTGTCGTCGCATATGTTTATCTGGATCTTGATCTTATTATTGCTCGTATTACGGATTGTAAATTCCTTGATCTCGCTCTTGCTCGTTTTCACGCTATTCCACACCAGAGCAGCGTGCGTCGCTCTGATCGGGATCGCACTTCCAGCTACGGCCACGCTGGACACTACGCTACTCGGTGAATTTCTACCTTGATAAGTCCCGGACCTGAGTGGGTCAATTCATATCGTTACGGATCACCGCAGTGGTCAAGCGGTGCGCAGTCCACCAAGCATACGAAATACTTACCTACTGGAGGTCACACTTTGCGGCGATGTCGGGGAACTCGTGGACACCAAATTGCAAGGTGTGTCGCAACGTAGGTAATTCTCACTTTCCGCTTCCAACGGCTTCTGCTCAGCACTAACGGCGTAATAGTAGACGCTGCTACCGGCGACCAATTTTACCTTCGCACACCTGCGGGGAGAAGAAAATTAACGAATGCATTGATGTTGCAACATACATTATTTATTAGGCGTAAAAATTAAGAATCAAATTAGGAATCGAATTAATTTATACGCCTGATAAATGAATAACTAGAAAAAATTCGATAACAAGAGCCAAACAATAACAAAATTTAACTGTCAAATTATTGTTACGCCCGTGTCTTGATGCCCGCGCTTTTAGCGACCTGAACATACAGCTGATTCTCTTCGACATGAGTCGTAAACAACAGATGATCAGCGTTGACGGATAAACAACGGGTTAGAGAGATTCTCTTTGGGGCGGTTGAGTCGTCGTGACGTGTGCTTCCTTGTAAATAGTAAATATAGTTGAAGTTGTTTTTTTTTTAACACTGTCTCGTTTTATTTCCCCGCGCGAGCGTAACATTATTCTACAAACTCTGTATCCGCTTTTGTATTGTTTATATTTGGCCGAAAATGACCACATACTAAGTCGAACGTTCCAAAATATGTCATTAATAATTTAAATATAAACACTTAACAACCGCCTTACTATTTGGCTCTTATTGTCGAATTTCTCCTAGTTATCGACTTTTATCTTAGATCCGAGTCGCTGAATTTTGATATATTTATTAAGCTGACCTCTCTTCGATCACATCCTTCGCGTCGGGAATCTGCGATTTGTACGCGATTAAGAACGCTCCTCTCTCCTCGGGTTGTAGCGACATGTCGCCTGGTTTTATAGAGAATTCTTGCACCGCTCTTAGATATCCGTCGATTGGTACGACAGTGGCGTACACGCGCGTCGCGATATTTCCCGAATTAACGACGTTGAGCAATTTGCCGTGCTGTCTGGAAACAATCATAGGCGCCTCCGTGTCGATGACTTGAATCCTACAAATGCCGGTTTGCGCACAGAGGGGTATTTCTTTCAAAAGTAACATCGTTCCGTCGCCACATTGTATACATATGATCAGTTTACTCCTCCAATATCGCGGCTGTTTCGGCGAACAATCTGTTAAAATAGAATTTTCGTGTATCTCCGATGGAAGAGCATACTGTGTGCGAAGAATACACGTATTCCATGTGAATAGATGCTTACCAATTGACGCAAGTTGCGACCTTTCGCACTTTATACTGGCAGTGAATTTCTCTTGAGGTTTAAGTACCAAATGAGTCAATTCGTCATGTGATTCATTCAGCTTTACTATTCCGTTGAAAGTATCTTCGATACTGAATATTTTTGGTCCTTCCTGTGAACAATGAAAAGCACGTTCACGCTTCCCACTTTCGAAATAATCATTCTGGTTATGTTCAAATATTCACAGCAAGATCTTACATGTAATATAGAGAGTTTCACAGGTACATTAATGTTATTCTTGTTATGAAATATTACAGGCAGAACTTTTGCTGTATTCTCCGCTATGCATTGAAAATCCAATTCCTGCTTGCCCTGCGAGTTGCATATGATATCGAGTTCAAGTTCTTCCGGTTTGAAGCAGATCATGTGCGTCATAAACCATTTCGACTTGACCACCATGTCCGACATAATTATATTTAGTACCGCGATGATCGGTTTGCACATTTTTGTTACTTTCACCTCGATCTGGAAAAAAGAACGAGGAATAAAAATAACGACAGGCTGGCACGTGTAACAAGAGCGATTTTTAGCTATTCGTAAAAATTACCTTCGCAGATTGGACACCATTAGGCTGTATTAAAATTGCATCTTCGGGAATACTTAATGTAATATTCTGCTGATCTCCTCGTACTTCGCTCAGCTTTAATTTGCACGTGATCCACCAGTCTCCTTTGTTTACCAGTTCTATGTTAGCTTTACAAGTCATGCCAATAATGCAATTGCATAACTGTTCCGTATTCTTGCCAATTATTACATCGCCTGAAAGGCCAAAAAAAGGACACATTCAAAATATGTGGTTATTATTCACCAAATAATGTTCATATATATATATATATATATATATATATATATATATATATATACACACAATATCGAGCAAGATATATACTATTTGAATCAAATTGCTTTCCAGTTTTCGTATTTTCTGTAAACAGTGTGCCCATCGTGTTATCGGAAGCTTCCGCTTTAGTCGCTTCTTTTCTTTCTATCTTTTGCATATTCATATCACTGTAGCTCTCTTCATCGCAACTTTTTTCACCTATTGTAGGCGGCACGCAGGAGAATACATTTGATTTGTCATTGGACGACAGAGACAATGCCGATTTTTGTAAGAGCAACTTAAAATCTGTGGCTGATATTATGGCTACTAAAAAAAAAAGTATCACGTCAAATTTCTCGTGTTTATTCAAATAAAATATACCGGTATGCTTCAGCGTTCATACATTGGACTTGGATTCGATACATGTCGTCCGGTATGATGACAGTGAAAACGTTAAACAGAAATAGATTTATAGTGAACGTTGCAGAGATAGAAGTCTTATTGTACCTGCGTCCTTGTTAGACGAAGAAGTTACATTTTTGTCATTGGTGTTTTCTTTTAATACTTCGCATACACTCTCAAGGGATTCAGCTTCCTTTATATTCTTGCTCGAAGCAAATGACAGCATTCTTGAGATTCTTTCCTTGTCAATTGCTTCGTTCGTAGTCCTACTATCCAGTGATAATTTTGACGTGAGATTCACTAGACTCATATTGTCATCAAATTTATTGGAATTTTCAGTAGACGCCGCTAACATGGACTTTCTCTCCAGGGGCATCGTATAGGTCTCCCTCTTGTGTTCTTCTATTATTGAATATTTCTTCTTTTTCTGTGCCATTAAGAGCTGGTCAACTAATCGCCGTGGCGTTTCGCTATTGACATCTTGCAAAGTACTGGCGATAGTGCTCAAACTTAAAATACTATTTTCACCCGCGTTAACCGTCGCGTTCGAGACATATTCGTGTTCCTTCTCCTTTGGCTCCATTGATGATAACTTGGTCGCTGTAATATTTCCTTCAATATATTTAGAATATAGGGAGCAACTTAAGCTCCGGTATCTACAATATGCGCTTTAAGCCTAAGAAATTGACCAATCACGAATATGAGGGGAATAATCGATTGTGATTTCAAGACTTCTTAGAGTTTAAATTCTTATTGTAGACCCCACTTAACATAGTTTAAGATCGTGAAATTACCATCCGCCATGAGCGTCGAATCGATCAACGGCCTCAAATTGCCCCTTTTCATAGGAGTTTCCGAGGTGACGTCAAAACCTGGTCTCAACTTGTCATCATTCCCCAACATTCCCATGTTACATTTACGTTTGAAATATTGACCGACAGATACCTTCCTTCCAGCGCAAGATCTGCATGAGATTTACACTTGATGTTATTGTGTGTATACTTCAGAATAATTAAAGAGAAAGAATTTGAGAAACCTACGCTATCGATAAATCAACCTGTCCGATGATACCGGAGAAAGCAGAGCAATCTAATTCCTGTTTTTCTGTAGTATTACTTATTGGCATGGAATGTGAATCACTTTGTCGCCAGTGAGCCTCATCGATTGACAACTGTGCAGGCGCTTGTGAGCTAGATAGAAACTCTTCATCGAATTCCTTGTTAAACTGTGCCATGAACTCCTCTGCCATGCTATGAAAGTTAATCCGGTCGGAAGGTATATTTAAAAGGGACTGCTCTCCTACGCTATTACTTAGGCCAGATGAGCGCGCTGATATTTCATTAGGCTCAAAAGTAATCTGGAATTCACTTCTTCTGATTATCCTCCTCTTAAAATTAGGTTTCTCAATCACAGGTACTCACATTGGTCGTGTTAACCTTGTCCAAGTGATTCACGTTACATTCCTGATCCTGAACAGGAGTATAAGTTTTGTTTGATAATGCGAAACCTGATGCAGGCAAAATGCCTGTTATGTTTTGTACATTTACATCATTTTCTTTATTCATATCTAAAATAATATTATTAAATATTAATACCTTTACAATAAAGCTTGTATATACAAATGCTTTCAGAGGTCTATCTTTCCTCTGTTTACCTATAGTCACAGGAGAGTTCCGTAAGTTACTGCACTTCTGGAGAATTTTCCTAGCATACTCGAGCTCTTTATTCACGTTAGTATAATTCAACTTCTGTTCCTCATCCGCAACACTAACATTTGTGAGAACTACCCAATACCAAATGTTACTACAGTAACGTTATTCAAGAAATATTAATAGGAATTCGTAGATATACACACATACCCGATATGTTATCAAGAAGACCTAATGAAGAATCGTCCGTATCGTCTGTCTGACTACCACATGGCACTCGCTTGTGTTTTTCTTGACTGGAGTCTCCGCTGCAATATTTATTTTCCAACCTGAAATGAAGTATATCTGAGAGACATTTTTAAAAACATTCCTCAAACTCAACAGGATTTCAACTGTCTCTTCGTCTCTTGGTAAACACACAATGCCGCAGAGAGAGAAAGAGAAAGAATCAGTGAAATCTGTTCAGGCAAAGTTTACAGGTAACCGTAAACATTCGAGAGAACGCTTGGCGCTAATCGCCCAAGAGCTTTGAGACAACCGAGAACGTACGTGTTTTTTCGTTGAACGGTCGACGAAGCTTGCGGCTGCGGTGTGTTTAATATCGTGTCATTCAGCACGACGATACCTGCGGACTTGATCGGCGTGAACATCGTGGAGTCCTTTGTTCCTCGCGAACGGTCCGATACGAAATCCACAGGATGAATGATTTTTAACGGTCCTTCATGGTTTCACCGCGCGCGAATATCTCGTAAATCTGGTCCTGCTGTCGAATACTCACGAGAGAGATCGACGACAGTTGATCGATTTTGCGGTTCAAATTTGAAAAGTCTCGAAGGTCACCGACGATTGGACACGGACGCGAAAAACGCGACGTAGTTTATCGTCTCATCGGAGCTTCGCGTTAATCGCCATCTATTGGCGAATGCTTTTTGAAAATTCTCTTGACATTCGATCGGAAACATCACCGCGGTCTTTTCTTATCGTCGTGATTGTCAAATCTAAAGTGAAATAGCGAGATCTCGGTAAATTTTGACAAAAATCAACAATAAGAACGAAAATTTACCCAACTCTGGCTCGTTTGGCTGAGCTTACGACAGGTAAAAGTTTGATTAATTTGTCGTTAAATCGTGTTACTCAAAAATAATAATGAGTTCTTTAACGTATTTTCATTTTCTGTCGAGTCTTACGTGAAATTAAAGTCGGCAGGAGGCAAATGTTAGGTCTGTTCGTTTTCGCTGCTCCGCTGAACTAGTTCAATAAGTTGAAGTGAGAAAACATATACTTGTCTTGCTTTAACTTATTGCACTGGTTTAGCGATGCAGAGAAAACAGACCTATTGATTGTACAAAAGTGCAGCTAGGTTGATTTTATCACTGTTTTATATATCCCCTATATCCGTATAACTTGTGAGTGTGATATGCACTAAGGATGTTTTGCGAAGCATCGATGTTCGCTCATTGAGGATGCGTCATGCGAGTTTGTCGGATGTGCCGGTTTGGCTATCGGATAGAGAAAAATTTCTCGAGTCCCTAACATTTCCTCTAGCTGTAATACCATCCTCAATGAGCGAATATCGGTGTTTTTCAAACATCGATGATTTTGTACGTACCATCCCTAGTATGCACAATCATGTACGCAAGAAACAGAACGCACCTTAGTTCACTGGTGTAAATATGCATCGTAACCTGTTTTTAATTTCGCCGGGAAAATGACACGTGTTTTATGGCTTGATAGATTCAGTTCTTAGTGTGTTAGATCGATAACAATAAGTATAATTAATTACGAGGTGAATATGATTGTTTATTAAATCAATAAACTGTAAAAAACGATAAATACTGAGGAAAGTTTAATGATATAATTTTCTCATAATAATACTTGTAAAATATGTATTTGTTTGAAGAAGCACAAGACATATGTTAATAACAAAATTAAATGTAAAGGATATAAACTTACACAATGGGTGACACAAATACGGAAGCTAAGGAAACAGCCAATACGGCGGGCAACGAGAAAAATCCATACGCGTATCTCGAGAGGGAGGATTTCACGTCTGAGAAATACAAGATAGAAGTTCGTGGTTTACCGAAATATTACGGAATCGGCGAGTTCAAGAAGCTTTTGAACGAAAAGTTCGACTTGCAGTCATGCAAGGTTAAGCCACCGAGGAAAGGCAGTGGCTGGTTATATGTATGTTTCAGAAGTGAAGAATGCCGGCAACGAGCGATAAATACCATAAATGGGATTTTATGGAAAAATAGTAAGCTCACTGCACAGGTATTCGTTTTTCCTCCAAGGTTGTTTTCTCGTGCAAAGTTAACTCGTAACAATATATCTTTTTGTAATCATAATCATTCCTTCTATGATAGGTAGCAAAGCCAGCACCAGATCCCTTTGTAAAAAGAAAATTGGAAGAAGAAACTGCCAGTAAACGCTTGAAAAACAATGAAGAGGATCAAGATCGTTCCCCCATGGAACGAATCAAGTTTTCTACCACTCCTTTGTGGAATATGCCATATGCAAGTCAGGTAAGAAATTTTAAATCATCCTCTTGTTAGGAAGCCTATTAAGCATCTACTATATATTTTTCTTTAGCTAGAATTTAAGCAGAATGAGATGAGATCCATTCTAATGAAAATCGGTCAGCAAATACTCAAAGAGAGTAAAATATCGACTGATTGGATAAACTCACAAAGGAAATTACATAATGGATTGCCGTGCGAACTGCAAGATATCCTCTCAGCTGATGTCACTGAAGCGTACAGGAATAAGTGCGAATTTACTATCGGTGACTATACTGCTAAATTTTTGTGATTTTAAAGCTCCTGTGTCCTCATTTTAGTTGTCTTTGTTTGATGATGTTAGAAGCGAGAAATTGCATGTCCAAATATATTGCGGTGTACATGGAGATAAAAGAATATATGCAGCAAATGGCACTTGTGAAAATGTCCGGACGCTTTCCTTTAGCCCGAAGAATCAATAAATAGTTGTAAAATTAACATAACAGAAATCATGAGAGAGTTAAAAATGCAAATTGCATGTTAGACTAATTTCTAGCTGTTTATTCATTGTTGAAATTAAGAGAAAGTGTCTGGACATTTTTACAAGTGTGCTGAATCGATCACGAGTGTTATTTTATGCATACATTCTTTTATCTTCACGTATATCTTGGCATATGATTTCTCGCTTCTAACATCATTTTAACAAGTCTTCTTAACGACAAGAACAGCAATAGTGAAGATACAGGAGCTTTAAACGACATTAAGATCTTGTCACGCTTTGTTGTTATCTCCTCTTTTGCAATGTGCAGGTAAAGGGGGTGAGCAGAACGAAATTATGATAGGGTTCAGATTGTCGAGTTACGCTTCCGGTTCAACTGCAGTCGGACCTATCGATGATCTATGCCATATTCCTCAAAATATGAAGACCGCTATGAAGGTAGATTTTAAGTATCAATATATATTTAACGGCTTACATATAATATTGTAATAATTATATATATACATATATATGTTTAATTAATTAATTAAATATATATTTTTAAATGCCGATATTTTGATAAAAGCCGAATATTTTCAGATATTGGAAACGTTCATACGCAAATCCGATCTCGAGCCTTTCAATCCGGTGGATCATAGCGGGTATTGGCGGCAGGTTACCGCTCGCACCACCCGCGCCGATCACCTGATGCTGATAGTCGGGATTCACCCTCAGGATCTGAGCAGCGACGAACTGGAGAAGCTGCGGTCGCAGCTGCGAACGTTCTTCGAGATGGGAGAGGGCGCGGACGCGCGCGTCACTTCGCTGTATTTTCAAACGATAGATAAGAAGTAAGTGTATCGCGCTCCTCGAGCGACTTTTGCACGCTGCGCTGTTCTCACACAGCCGGCTGATGATGCGATGATGCGCGGTGAATTCGCAGAGGTATAGGCGGCGAGAGTAGCGACACGCTGTATCACATCAGCGGCACGGAGTATATCGAGGAGACGCTGCTCGGCATGAAATTTCGAGTCTCGCCCCAGGCATTTTTCCAAGTGAACACTTTGGGGGCGGAAGTGCTATACAAAGCAGCGATCGATCTCGCCGGGCCTACGGCGGACACGGCGTTGCTCGACGTCTGCTGCGGTACCGGCACTATAGGTCTCTGTTTCTCGAAGGTACGTCTCGATCGGTCCTATGGAAATACAATAATACCCCGTGTTATGCTATTCGCGTGAACTCAAAGTTACGCGATTAACAATTCCTCGCTTCCCCCACTACTTATCTCCCGTTGCGAGCACGTGGAAGCCTTCACAGACTTCTCTACTAGATTCTTACGAAATCAATAAGTTAGTTTTCTCTATGCCAACCTGCTACCAAAGAATCAGTTATTTCAGATTAATATGTGTATATTCGTATGAAAATGTGTACCCTGACTTACGAATGTTTTATTTACGTCGTCCTCACCGATCCCACCAATCGCGCAACTTCGGAGTATCACTGTATTCCAGTAGCCAATCGTGGACGTTGTAACGCTTGTCGGTCATTCGTTGCAGCATTGCGGCGAGGTGCTGGGAATAGAGGTGATTGCCGACGCCATAAAGGATGCGAAAGAGAACGCGATCAAGAACGGCGTGACAAATTGCGAATTCTTCGTCGGGAGAGCCGAGGACATTTTATCGCCCGTCATTCAAAGGGCAACGAGGTCTAATATCACCGCCGTCGTGGACCCGCCACGCGCTGGCTTACGTGAGTGTTGTCGACGTGTGATAGGATTTTTTTTATTCCTTTTTCGTTTTTTTTTTTTTTACTTTATAGCGTTGATATTGTAAAAACGTGTGTTGGCTCAGCTCGTTGATTCTCCTGTGTTTGTTTCTTCCCCTCTTCCAGATCAAAAGGCTTTATTGACGCTGCGCAAGGCGAAAAAGTTGAGCAGGTTGGTGTACATATCGTGCGACCCGCGCGCCGCTACGAGGAATTTAGTTGACTTAGCGCGACCCAGTTCGAAGCAATATCTCGGTGAACCCCTGGTGCCGGTAAAGGCCATCGCGGTGGACATGTTCCCTCACACTAAACATTGCGAATTGATATTGTGCCTTGAGAGGCTGTCGCAGGCGATGAAATCAAACGAACGCATGACCTAAGGAGGACAAGAGAGAACGCGGACTATTCTTTTTTTTTTTTTTTACCTCGACTCGTTCGCGCTTCGCTCATGGTTTTTCTATTACATTTTTTATATCGAGCTTGGCGGCATTCAGGTCTGCATTTAGACCCAAGTGCGTCTCACCGCATGTGTTACACGCATAAAGGAAATGTTTTCACCTGTTTTCCTCGTGGAGAGGTAGATCAAGATAATTGGTTAAGCGATTGCGAACTCTTACATGAGCGCGCGAGTCACAGTCTCTGTGTGCGTTTGAATAATTCTATATATTTAGTATAATAATCTTATTTAGTATAATAAAAATATAATAAAAATAATATATATATATATATATATATATATATATATATATATATATATATCGATAACGTTGATATCGCACGCAACGTAGTCTGAACGAATACATTTCCAATCGTTACCAATGAAAGAACGAGCGAATATTACATTCAGAAATCGAGAGAGAGATCGCAAAAATCAAGAGAACTGTGTCATGACTTCTCCCGAATAGCGCGTTATCGATATATCCCGAGAGACGAGCAGAGAAACTTGCGTGATTCGAGCTTAAGGCTAGGGTTATCACATCCGTTCCAATTTTTAGCAAGAAGCTTTTTCAGCGCCACGAAATTATATCAGGCTTGTTTAGTTATATCATAAATCCGGACGTCGACTTGATTATTGGTACGTCACAAATGGCATGCAGCATCGGCAGCGGAACGGCTCCGTTTTCCTTCTCGCAAACATCGCCTCGCGACATCTCGCGATACCTCGAAGAGCGTTACTTTTATCTGTCCGATATTACGGCGGAAGCGTTCGTTACATGAAGACGCTTCCGTACATCGCGTCGAAATGTCGTAGATACGCTCTTTTCGGATAATGCGATAGTCCATTATGTAACGCGGAAAGTTAGCGGAACCATTGCAAGAATATTCGCGTGCGTCCGTATCTCTTCGTGTCTTCGGGATGGGAAAAAGAGGCACCACGAAAATCGAGAGATCGGCGCATGTCGGATGCGATTTCCCGGATCTATGTGTGGACCCTGGGAAAAATTATATTTAATTATATAAAATCATATGTGAATTTTGCCCATATATATATATATATATATATATATATATGTGGTTACTTGTATGATCATGTGTGATCATATCTATACGAAAAAAATGATATTACGTCATTTAATTAAATGTCGATATCATGTGCTGTCAAAAGCATTTACTTCGATTGTACTTACATATAATTTGTGAATAACAATATTTTTTCGTTGCGAACATATATGATTATATACAGTCATAGATGGGCAAATTTCATATATGATCCTTTTTTCCCGGGGAACTTTAGAAAAGGAAGAGGAGGACAGCAATCGAGCGAAGAAAGGATGTAGTTTCAATATGCTTAAATTTATATTTCTCGTAACTCTATATTCTTTTCTTCCTTTTACTTTTTTTTTAATGTGGCGATCCTAGTTTTTATGCCGAGCTACTTTATATTCTGGTGGGGTAGAGAGGAGGGCCAGTTACTGAGTGCTTAAACGTAGTTACAGATGCAGTACATAATACACATACATATGCAAGGACCGATTCAGCGCGCCTTAAACGTAACCTTTGGACAGGTGCATAAATATACACGTAATAACTGGAAAAATGTCGTTACCACGAGGAAATGTGTCGGAAATCGTTTCTTTTGATCAAGGTTACGAGAGATATGCTCGAAGAAGAGCTCGTTTAATGAAATAGGCTTTCGTTCGTATTTACTTTATGCCGTATTTACTTTAAGCCAGAGAGAGAGAGAGAGAGAGAGAGAGAGAGAGAGAGAGAGAGAGGTAATTCTTTCTCGATTTGCGCGTAATTTGCAAAAAGAGAACGGCGATAGAAGTCGCAAGAAGACAGACGAGTAAAGGTACATGGCTGAGGGAGGAGAATCGTTGATTCGATGTTCCAAAATGTGCGAAAGTAACCGCTCGAGCGAGTTTGTGTGTGTGTGTGTGTGTATGTGTGTGCCGTGTACGTATGTGTATGTGACGTGTATGTGTTATTGTACGTTCATGATTTTTTCTTTTTTTTTCCATTTGTTCTCTTGACACTCTCTCAGCAGCGGGAAAGCACTGTTTTACGATCTCGTCGCGTTGCTGCAGCTAAGTCGAGGAAATGATGCGAAATGGCGGCGGCACTCCTTTTTGGTCTGCGGATTCGAGGAGGACTGACAATGACTGGGTCATTATCACTTTCTCCTGAAGCATGTCACCGCGTTGAAGTAGCAGCGCCAGTAAACCTGACTTTTACCCTGGCCGCGCCGCTGCAGATCCATCTGAAAGAAGCGAAAGGATCCAGAGATGCGACAGAGATAGTAGCGGCAACCCGAGTCGAATCGGCGCGACGATTCTCTCGAAAATCTTACTTTCGGTGTCTGTCGCGAAATTTAACGAACGCTACTGATTGATTGTTCTCCCATCACTCGGAGATGATCGAATCAAATATTTTCGAAGAGAAGTTTGGAATGTAGTTCAAGACTGATATCGAGGTGAAGAAACACATTACAGTTTTATCAACTATATAATTTTAAAGTTTTAGGAAAAACTTTTTTTTTAATTTTCCTACGGTTCTTTTTGGTTTCTTGTACTTCTTTACAGAAGAAAGCAAGTATGGTAGGTTTTAACCGAAATTACGCGTGAATCTTTCTAAACGAATTTTTGCGCCTTTGGGACAGAAATCTGTTTTTCTTGTCTCTTGAATAGAACTATTGAAAGGTTGATACCGAATTCGCTACCGTTTGATCTTTCTCCATCACGGGGGCGGTCTCCAGGTCGGCGGCAAAGGGTGCCCCGCCAACTGTACTTTTTCCCTGATTATCGACGACCTTCTGTAAGGCTACCATCAGCTGGTCGAACAGTAAAGCTGCACGCTTCGGCATTACTACCTGTGATCAAACGGAAGACGGACCATCAGAAGGTGACAAATGGAAGGGGGAGGATATTTTCGGTTTATATCGATATGTCGATAAACGTAATCTCTTAGTAGTGCAACTACGTTTGCGGACTTTTAAGCCAATATTTATTGTCACATCTTACATTTAATTGGTCCGATAGAAAGTGCCAAATTTCTAGTGACGATATCAAGGAGTCCCTTTATATAAATTAATTATTTACTGAAAAAAGAACCTATAACTTTATCTTAAGATCCTATAACTTAATCTTATAACTTTATTCAACTGAGTAATAAATGTGAATTTTGAACGCGCGCGAAATTTAAATGTATACAGAATAAAAATCGCCCAACATTGGAATCTGAAATATCCCCGTTATTCTTAATAATACGAGAAAATGTCTAAGGAGAAATTTATTTACTTCGAGGAAGCATTTCAAAATGAATAACGGGAACGAGTTACTTTTTCGAATCGGTAACGAGTAACGAGTCACTTTTAAAAAGTAACTTTCCCAATCCTAGTCGCAACCTGTGTATTTTATAGCAAACACCACTTCTTCAAATCCGTATCTTTCGTGTATCCCACGCGGTACTACGTTTCTCGCATACATTGCTGACCTGTAATCACCGAGGAACACGCCAACGAAGTGTCCCGCAAAGCACGATGGAGGAAACGGCGGGATAATTAATAGACTTGTCCTCGTAACGTTGCCACGCATTCGTCTAATCATTCATCGGCAAATACTCAAATGCTTTATTCATTGTTAGTTGAAAAACTTGATTAAAAATTCAAATACGTGTCGTTTGTCACAAAAAAGGTTGCAATACTTTTTTTTTCTTATAAGTTTCGGAACGCATCCTGTCTAATGGGAGGATTTATTTTCTTAGTAATTCTTAGGTGATACATTTCCTTATTGGACATAGAGATGCGTTGCGAAATTCACTGAGAAAAAGTATCGCAACCCTTTTGCGACTCACGTAGACAAAGGGGTAATTTTGTTGCTCTAATTTAGCAGTCTTGCTAAATTAGATTATTATTGTCTGCCCGTCCATTTCTTCTCCCTTTCTCTCTCGAGTTTCTCCGCCGCACATTTCGCCTTCGCCTCGTTTTCACTCTGTGAACGTATCTGTTTATCTCACTTACACCTAACCGCGATGAACCCAATTTTAAATACCGCATCTTTTTCATCATCATCATCCCCGCTGGATAATCAACTGGATACCTGCACCGCAGGAGGTTAATTGGAAAATATTGAAGTTTTAGTAGGCGGAGGGCGGTTCTCAAAAACGTGTAGCGTGAGAAATATGGGATTCCCACCGTGTATCTATGTTCATCGTGCGGCGAAAGGGCAGTTTCTTCATTTCTTCTGAAATGTGACGGCGGCACGAAAGATAAGTCGATGATAAAAATAATGAGCGCTCGCGAGAGAGAAGCCCAGGCAAGATCGAAGATACGCCTCGGTATTCTTTGTCTCTCTCCCTCCCTCCCCCTCCTTCTCTCCTGAATGCGAAAGGTGAGAGAGGAATCAAGCGGAGCGAGGCCACGGGGTCGATTACGGATTTTAGTATTCATCTGCGAGACGTAAAACACCAGATCATCGGACAATTAAGATCGTCATCGCGAATAAGACCGATCCGTCGCTGCTACGGCGGCTCTTCGAACCGCGTCTTCTTTTAACCGAATTACATTCCGCTCGTCGTAATGAAGCGAGCATTTACCTCAAGTGACAATATACGATTATCCGCTTTGCGTTATCGCTTCGGGCTCTTCGAAATTCGTGGCGCAACAGATGTAATTGATTCTCATTACGTACTACAAAAGGGACGAAGGATCTCATCTGTACATTAGGCTGGGAAATTTCGAACGTTAAACTTGTACTTGACTTTTTGTAAATAAACATTGAATCTCACGAAGATAAATTTCATCACGAATTAATTTGTACACTTAATATATTAATTACGTGATCTTAGGGGCGCACGCACGATCTCACCTGCCCTCTCATTTAGAAGCGGCGTCAGCCTCCGCGTTTCACGCTGAAAAGTAAGGCACACGCGTGTTTTTCTTCGACTTACTCGGCAGACTCGCATTGAAGAATCGATGGGCGCAAAAAAGACGCGCACCTGGCGAAGGGACACCCTTCGCACCCCCATGAAATCCGGCCGATAATAGGGTCGCCCGTGAGAGAGAGAAAGAGGGAGAGGAGGACGGTAGGTCGCAGGTAGGAGCGGAGGGGAATGCGGTTTGTGAAGTTTCATCACGAATAAGCGTGGCATAGGAGGGACGTGGCGGAATTTCGATACACAAAAACACCCAACACTAGCCGTCGGCGATTCCGAGCGCTCAATTAACCGATAATCTCTCAAAGCGAATCTCGCCCTTATCGCGATAAGCACGAGCGGCTCAGGCAGAAATAGGATGAGCGGGGAGCGAGATTCGGCGGCCCTCGCGAAACGGGGATCGCGCGAGGGAGATACTCGAGGAGGTATCGAAGCGGCGAGAAATTCGAATCAATTGCCAACTCGCGAACGGTTAAAAATTCGAATTTTTCACGCGATGGCGCAGCTGGACGTTTATTTTCTTCGAAATTGATAAGGTGATTCCTTTCTTCCGAGGCAAAATGAAACTTTTAGGGAGGTTCGGGAAATTGCGATGTCACTATATACACACACACACATATATATATAGTTCTTCAAATATTAACCGTTTTCTTTCGTAATTTTGCCGTGCGGCGCAAAGCCAAACAATGCGGATCGCCGTTTAGAAATTTTCATCCCCCGCTTCGTATCGCCGGTTTGCTGGGGTAAACAATCACGTCGAGCAATATATGTTTCACATATTGCATTCCTAACTCGCATACACCTGCATTGCGTGTCCTTTCTGCTTTATTTATTTCGCTCGATTCCCCAAAGCGCCGACGATGAACATCGACTTCTTTCCTCCTGTTATTATGTCGCGCCTGTCTCGTGACCGCACTGGGGTTTTGATCCAACAGGAGTTAGCCGTGACGGGAAGTTCTGAGGCGATAGATAAAAAAGAAAAAAGCGAGTCTTCTTACATTTGGCGTGATATAATCGTACGCGCATATCAAGTTCTCGCATTCAACAGCTTTCGAACGAGGTGCACCGTATGGATATCTCATGCGCGCGAACTTTCTTTCTCAAAGCGCAGCTTATTCCATTCGTAGGAAAGGGCGAATTGGCAGAATGTAAATTTAATTTCCCTACTTAATTATAAAATGTGGTTAGATTTTATCCATCCCTTAATGCAACCGACAAATATGTTTACTCCACGAATATGTATACTCCACGAAAGAAAAAAATTTAATATGCAAATGGAAGATATCGATTTTAATAAGGAAATTTTTGTCCTTAAGTTTGACCTACATGTGCTTTTTGCGTCTTGTTTCTCGCTCTCTATCTATCTTCTAATAATAACCTTTATTTACTTATGGAGGTAGAGAGCAAGAAACAAGAAACAAAGAGCACATTGTAGATCGGGCTTTAGTTTCCCCCATCGTGCGCAGTTTCATTACATAATTAAACGAATTTTATCGGGAGAAGTGAGTAATGGAGGGGCCATGTAGGAAAGAGCGTTCCGCAAAATTTAATCGCACGGATAATAACGGTAGTCCTCGGAATTCCGATGAATCCCGACGTTTGATTTTTACGTTATATCGAAAATTCCTGCCCAGAGGTTCCCGTCAGGTGTGTGCGAAGGGCGAAAAAATCTGAGTGTGGGCGAATGGGTGAAATCGGTTCGACCATGAACTGTGACCAGCGAAAAAATAAAGTCCAAGAGCGATCTTCGTTCCACAGGCACACTGTTCCCTGAGATCTTCGTTATCTTTCACGTGGAGTATCTTACTTATTTTTAATTTAAAAAAAGTTACTAACGTTACCGCAATTGTTATATTTTATCTTTTAGTAGCGGGGGGTAATACATTGCGGAGTATTTTCGTCTGTTTGCTGCACGGAAAGAGAAAATAATACGGTGTAGACAAAGTCGCATTAACGGTATGCAATCGTGAAACGCGATTTTTAGACGCGAACGCGGTTCAGACATCAGCGACCAGGGGAGGGGGATTCATTATCAACAACGTTAACACGAGTAGCTGCACTTATGATGGAATAATTTTCGGCTAAAAACACATCAGCAGCTATATGTAAAAGTGGGTGAGCGTGAAAAATAAAGAAAGAGCGGAAACGATCGTGACGTCGAGCCAGCCAATCAACGTTTAATTGCGACATTCATAGACGCGTAAAGGCATTATCGCCGGCGCGTGGTTTATTATTGTTGCGCACACCAGGCGAATGACGAATTGATGAGAAGAACAGGGAGAAAAGAGGGTGACAGAGAGAAGGAGACCTGTCGAACAGGGAGAGATGGAGAAACATTCCACTGTTTTCGTTATTTTTCTCCTTTTCTTCCGCGTTTTCTTTCTCACGAAACTATCGCGATTCGCGCGGTGTTCGCGCGCACCCACATATATCCCATAATTGTCATACACAGAAAAATGTGTCTTTGGATTCAATAAAGTTTCTTCAATTAAGATAAATTTCTCTTGAGATGGAACAAACAAACAAATATTTGATTAAACAAACTAGATTGTTTAGTTTCTCATACAACAAATATCTTTACGACAAATAAATATTTCTCTTGTATTTTCATCCGAACATTACAATGATCGTCGCATATACACAGGTCCGAAATTTGTCTGAAAATTTTCGGCCAAATTTTTGCGCACAAAATTTTGAGTTATTAATTAAAGAAGCTTCTATATATGGCCATTTTCAATAATTAATAACTAGAAATTTCGCGTAGTTGTTTGCAAAATGATAGAGTACTTTTCGCTCAGTTTAACTCGTTCTACTTTCACACGAGCGATTTGCTTGAAAGTTTTGCAGCAAACTTCCTATACATATGCCTTTACATACATTTTTATTTAACAGGATTTTCCACGATTTTCAATCCCACACGTATAATCGTAAAAAATA